GTTCAGTGAAAAATGACTCCATTCACGGAGAGTAAAGGATCATGGTAAAAGGTCGAAGGTAAACGGTCATAGAGTGCTCAAAATTAAAGGTTACACGATATTCATTCCTATTATGGAGACAGGTCGGCTCTCAACTTCTCAATTTCCGCTTCTTCACACGTGAGGTGACGTGCTAAGAATGGGAGTACAGAGTGCTGATATGCTGATGTACGGCAAGACATATGACGGAAGCTTCGGCGCATAGCACGGTAAGACTGTTCGGTCATCAGTTCAGAATGGAGAGGGTGAGTTACCTCACTAAGGATGCGGTCAGCAAATTGCTTGACCGTTTTAAAGGTGCGCTGTATTATAATGCCAGCTAAAAAAGACATAGGAAACACCGGCAGCTGAAGAGAGCATTCGGAGGATACGTTTAAAAATGACCAGGTCTTTGGCAGGATTGACTTTGGGAGGCCCCAAAAATCCCGTCGACTTATAATAAAAAACTACTTTTTAAGATTCAATAGCCTGATTTTAATTTTTTTCGTTAAATTCCACCTATAGGAGGACGAATTTCCATTTTCGTTAAATCCCGTCTACATAAGGTCGAATTTCCCTCGATTAGCATTCGTATCCTGCGATACAGAAGTGTATGTTGATCGAATTTTATTCTATTTTAGGATATTAAAACAAACAGAAGCTTATTTAATCTAATATTTTTTAATCAATTCCGCCACAATCACATATTAATTTACGCTCACCAGCCAAGAATTAAATGTTTGACGACAAACTATTTTAAGCAGTTGGACTGGGGTATAGATATCTTGAGGGGCCCTCAAAATCAATTTTGTCAGGTCTTATTTTAAGTAAAGCTGGAAAAATAACTGGAGAGCAGTTAATAATGCGGGGGAGAACGCAGGCATCTATTAATCGTCAGATAAGGGCTTGTGGTGTGCGATATGAACGCAAGCGGCGGATATAATATAAAAGCTTACGGATTTTTATAAAAAGGCCTTCTATGTGAAGAGAAAATGTAAGGTTAGATGCCAGAGCAACACCAAGGTCTCGGAAAGGGGATACCTTGTTGGGGAGAATTTCAATAGTTTCAGGACGGAAAGAGGGTCGCAGTCAAAAAATACACTGGACCGACTTCCGCTCGTTAAAAAAGAGGAGAACTTGTTAACCGTACTGGCGGCAGGCCATCACGTGGTCGGATTTAACGACCTTCGCCAGTGTGCGGATATTTTCTGACCAAACGTGAACAAGTATTGCGCGGTACTTTGAAATCAGGGCAACAGCCTG